GCGGGCCGTGGCGGCCGTCGTGCCCGGGAGCAGCTCGGGGCGAGCGAGGTGTGGCGCGGTGCGGTGTGTCTGCGGCCGACCCTGCGGCCTCATTCCTCCCTGCGCGGCACCGGGGGTGAGGCCGCAGGTACGCTTCTCCGGGAGAGTGTAGGTCTTGGCCGGTAAGTACTTGCTGAAAGGAAAACTACAGGCGCTAACCCTGCTCGGTGTCGCTCTCTCTAGCTATGGCATCTCGGGAGGCTTCTGAAACATCCTTCTTCAGCCTGAGTGGTGTAAGGGAGCGGATGCGGGAGAAGAAAAACGGTGCCTTGAGGACTGCGAAGTTGAATGCCTCGCTTGCATCAAAAATCAAAACGAAAATCATTAGTGAGTGTATTTTGCCTTGCAGCGTGTGCAGAGGCTGGCAGCTACATCAGCTTCTAACTGTGCCCTTGGCCATGGCTGTTGTGGTGGTGGGGGCAGTCTCTTACCCAGAGCTTATATCTAACAGCTGCTTCTCTGCCTGTGGGTTTCTAGTGAATTCAGTACCCTGCCAATGAGTGTCAAGTGCCACTTGAGGTGCCCAAAGGTGTCTGAGGTATCTGTGACTGGCAGGTTTAATGCAGAACCTTTGGAGCAGCAGCTGGGGGCATCGCAGGCTGCTTGGCAGCCTTTCGGATGGCATTAGACAGCTGTGTCCGGGTAACCGAGTCCTCAGGATCCAAACAGCAAAAATAAGAGATGTGGAAATTATTTTAGTGTATATGCAATCCCATGCAGAAGCTAGCCCAACTGTGATTTATTTTTATGGGGGAAATGATGCAATGATAGTGCATGAGATAATTTGGACTGCTTTGAAAAAGTTAGATACTTCTGTTACCTTTGAAATTGGGAAACATGGATCTAAATCTGCTGAAGGGCTACTACAGAGGAAAGTAGGGTTTTCTCCCTTTTTTTGGATGGAGGTGAGGACTCAGAGCCATAGGTGACTTGTTTAAAGTCAGAAGCATGTCTTTCTAAACTCAGCACCTGAACCATGCCATCATTCATTAATAACTGAAGCATTAGCTTGCTGACTGAGCACGACCCAGTCAGCTGGGATAGAGAGGGTGTCTGTCTAAAGTGTTGCAGGATATTATGGAAAGTTTTTCCTGCTGTTCTCTGGAGACTTCTATTGCTGGAAGGAATTATACTGCTGACTTTGTGTGGGGGCTATTGAGTTGTAGAGATCTGAACCTACGGGAGGCTATTCTGGGAAGAAGTATGATAAGGGAAGAGGCATGGATGAGACCTTGGATACTGATTCTGTGCGATGCTTCTCTATCACTTACAGACAACTCCTCCACTATTAAAGTCTCCCTTAAGCACAACAATAAAGCACTGGCCCTGGCCCTCAATGCGGAGAAAGCCAATGCACAGCGGCTCACCCAGGAGAAGACCATCTTACAGAAGGAAGTGGAGCAGTGCCACTTCCAGAATGCTGTGCTGCGGCACAAGCTCTCCTTCCTGGTATGGCACTAATATTGTGGCTGGCATGGAGAGGGGCGGTGGGCAAGGTGTGCAGCACTAGCATCTCAACCTTGGTAGGAGTGAGCTGTCACTGATTGTCCATGCTCTCTGCATATGAAAAAATGTCACCATTTGTTTACTTACTCTTTCTTCCAAGCTCTGTTCTCCCCAGAACATGCCTTGCTCTGGCTACCAGCATCCTTGTTGGAATAGATGTTTTGATTTAATGTCTTTATGGTTTCTCTCTTTATTACCTCAACATAGAATAACACCTTGAAAGAACTTGAAAACCTTATTGCTGCAGTTAAGATGGCCCGGCTGTCTGAGGTAAACCATGGGAAACAAGAGCACACTGCTCTGGGAAGGGGGCTGTGTTTGTCTCTCTCTTTTGCTTTGCATTGCCTGCTCACTTCAGTGTTTGATGCTTCAACTGTTTTTCTTCGCTTGCTTGAATTGTGCTGGCTGCATCCTCGTTTTTAGCTTGGTGTTAATGATTTCCAGGGTAACAACTTCTGCAGGAAAGGCTACAGTTTTAAACTGCCTTCCTCTGGGTCATTGGCTGTAGTGGCCAGTAGGCTCTTCTGCTATGACAGGTTGTGACTTCTTTTCAATTTTGTTTTTTAAGTATTGCCATGGCAACTTGGGATAGGGAATAGGACACTTTCCATATGTCCTATCTCATAGGTGGGTGGGAAAATATTCCTGCTTCATAGTCTCAGATTATCTGAACTAGTTTAACTTCATCCTTAAGCCTGTGGAGACAGAATCTGACTCTGCTGCAATTTATTCCACAACTTGTGCAATTTTAAATGGGAGAGGGTTACCGGCAGTATTTGGCATACTTTCCAGGGTGAAACTGAGCTTCTGCTGTTTCTGTGCAGGAGGGTGCACAGGGGATTTAAAGCAAGAGCTTTAAACCACCCTTCTATTTCTCTCTTTGCAGTTCCATACAAGTTCTGCATCCTTGTCCAATGGCCAGAAGAGCAGCATGACTGAAGATAGCTGGGCTGATGATATTGCAGATGGTCAGCTTGTGAGGTGGGCCTTAAAATGTCAGATACCACCAAGCTTGCCCTGAATTTCTATATGCTAAACTTCCTCTTGTGTTTTACGTGTGAGCCCAGTTGTCTGTTTTACATGAGATGTCTTCTCTAAACTACCACTGCTTTATGTTTTCCTTTACTCTGTGTCTTTCTGCTGCTACTCCTTTTCTTATTTGTCCTAATGCCAAGTCTATGCATAGACTGGTCCTTCTCCCTCCTCTGTTTGAACGTGCATTGCTTTTAGGTAGTTTTTCCTTTGTAGCTGTTGAGCACTGCAAGACTTCCTTGAGTGAGTGAATGCCATAGCTGGCTGCTTTGATGTTTGTTATATATAAATGTTTAATAGTCATCTGCTTGTATGATGCAAACTTGGGTTTTGGAAAGAAGGTCAGAGCAGAGCAGGATCTCTTAAAATATATTTGAAGTTCTGCTTCTCCTCTGTCTAGTCTCCCCTTTGAACACAGGGGAGCCCTTGAAGCTGCCCACACACATACCTCCATGGAGCCGCGTTGGTGCTCCACAGCGAGGTGAACTTGTGGTCACAACCTGTGTGCTGAAAGGCCTTACTTTCTTGTTGCTTCAGTGTATTTTTATCCTGCTCCTGTGTCCACAGCAGTGTGGACTTTCCTTGTGAGTTGTGCTTGCACAAAAATGGGAAATCTGTCCTGGCTGGGCAGTGTGTGTTCTTCAGCACCTGAAGCCTTCAGAAATGTATTTCAGCAGCTCTTGATGGAGATGAAAGCTGTAGCTATTCTGCTGGATTCTGGGGCCTGTCAGAGGTATGGAACATGCTCTATTGCTGTTACTCCTTCTCACCAGGGCTGCAGGGATGCCAATGAGGGTGCCCATTTCCAAGCTGTGTGATGCAGGACAGCAAGGTGGCAGCTCCACAGCAGTACAGACATCCTCACTAGATCTTCAGAGACCTGCTTCTAATGAGCCCCCGGAAATTGTGCCTGTTGCCTCCAAAGACACTTTGCCACCACAGCCTGCTGAGAAGCCTCAGTCCCACCAGGAAGAGAATGGGAAGAAGCCAACTGAAGCAATGGAAGCGCAAGAGGCTTTTCTTGACTCTTGCATCTTTGGAGGTAAATTTGCATCTTCTGCTGTTCTTCTGGTATGACTTTGTATGTCTGTGTTCAGAAATGAATGACTGCAGTGCCATACCTCCTGTTAGCTCCTAACCATCACTCCAGCAGCTCCTAATTACTGTTAGGAACTGCATGCTTCAGTGACACTAATATCGCTAGAATTACATATATCCCAGAATGGGATGTCTTGGTGGGGATATTTGGCATGTTTGCAATAGCTCAAGATCACTCATCAGGCTTTCTGAGTAACAGGCACTGAGCTTATGTAAGATTTTCAGAAGTGTCTGAAGGTGCAGTATCTGACTGGATGCACATCTTCTGTTCCTTGTGGAATTGCCATATAAATAATAACTCTCATAAAGATCGTGAGCATTCCTAAATATTAGGGCTGGTTAAGGGATCTTGCTTTGGGCTGCCTTTCTGTTCTGAGGGGAGCCAGCTGAGCAAATTCTGTTACACAGTAAGTTTGGCGAGTTCCTGTAGAGACAAAATCATGCTTTTTCTATGCTCTGGATTTGTGGCAATGTGTGGGGCATGGCTTTTAGTGGTATGGGGAAAGCTGGCATTTGCCTGCTGCATTTCTCAGTCTTAGCAATGAATTTTGTCTTTCCAACAGAGGCCTTGTGCACCACCCAACAAAATCCCAACAATTTGCCAGTGCTTGCCTGTGAAAGTCATCCTCTTTCGTATGAGGGTGATCAGATGGCAAAACATTTCTTCGATCGTCTGTCACAAGGGCATGTTACTCAGAGGAGAAAGCGTTCCACCCTGTTTGCAACAAGCACTCCATCTTCTGGTGTGGATATCTTTCCATGTGTCAGTTCCACTCAGGCAGCTCGGTGGAGTATCACAAAGGACAGCAGCAGCTCCAGTAAGAGTGACCCACAGCCACAGCTGAAATCTCCCAGCTCTCTGGCTTCACCTACTCAAGCCAGTGTTATTCCTGATAGAAAATCTTTGGGTAAAGAGACTTTCTGTGATCAGCCACAGGCTAAAGGAACTGGGTGTGGTGTTGAAACAGACCCCAGCTATAGCCAAGTCCCTGAGTTTGTTCCTGTAAAGGTTAAAAGCAGAGATAATTGTAAAACTGGTGAGAAAACAACTGTTAAAAAAACAAGCACAGGAAAAAAGAAAACAAATGCAATTAAAAACAGTGCAGAAAGTAGTCCTGATCTACCTCAAGGTGAGGAGAGTGCTCAAAATGCAAAGAAGCTTCTTCAGCCAAAAGTTGCAACATGCTCTAGTGAGTCTGAAGTTTCTGAGATGAGGCAGAAGGCTTGCGTGGGGGCTTTTGACAGGAAGAACAGAGGCTGTGATGTGGAGCAACACTCCCGCTCTCCTGATGAAGTCCAAGATCTCAGAAGAACATACGTGGTGACTCCAGCACAGCTGCACAGTCTTGGAAGTGGTGACTTACTGCAACAGGTTAAGAAGGAAGCTGTATTTGAGATCCAAAGTATGGAGAGCTTGTCAAAAAGCCCAGTTCGTACCTTCTCAAGTCATGAAGTTCCCTCAGATGATTCCAGTCTACAAAATTCACTTTTCTTGAGGAAAGAGAACTCAAGTGCCTGTGCTTTGCAAAAGGGCTCAAGTGTGAGCACAAAGAGCATCAGACAGAAAACCAACAGAAAAACTAGAGTAATTAGGCAAAGAGATGACTCTGAGGAGGAGAATCTGCCAAAAAGCGTGAAAATACCAGAGGCCAAAGCTGAGGAACAGTCTAAAGGAAGCCAGACAAGCAGGAAGAAGACTGTCAAGAAAAGCAGTTGTAGTGATCAGAGAAATGAAGTTGATGTTTTTGGGCCATGTATAGATGTTCAAGGAGTAGCTAAGGAGAGCACAGAGGAGTCACTAGGTAATCTTAAATGTAGCAGGAAAACTTATGTTGTCCGTCCTTTGGATCTTGCAGGAAACTTGGGTTGTGTCCAGACAGATTTTGAAGGGGGTGAAATTGTACCTCCCAGGACTATTCCTGGAAGCAAAGCTAGCAAAATCCCCAGAGTTCAGAGGATGGTGGCTGCTCAGAGCAATAAAAGACAGACAGGGGGCCTTCAGGAAAAGGGGCAAGCTAAAGTTGACAACAACATGAATGCCTCAGAAAAAGAGGCCTATCCCAAACCGAAGCCTCAGAGGAAGAGGAACACCTCTAGACCTTCAGAGACTGATTCCCTGGCCAGACAAAGTGATGGTGCCAAGGCGCTCATTGGAAGTTCAGCAGAAATTGCATCCAAGCAAACTGTCCTGATGGGGAAGTTTTCCTGCATTACAGATCTGCTGTCTGAGCCCGATGCCTTCCTGGAAGAGCAGATAGCTGAGATACCGCTTACAAATAATCTTATGGATGTTTCACACAGTCTTGAATCCTCCTCTGTGACCTGTTCTGCAGCTTCGCCTGTCAGCTCCAGGTTTACAGATGTGCCAGTTTCCAAGAGCTTAAGTACTGAGGGCAACAGAATGCCAGAGAAATCCTCTGTTTGGCCAGAAAGCTCCATGATATTTAAAGAAAAGACTGCAGAGGAAATACCTAGGGAAAGAAACCAAGTTGAGTCAAGTTCTCAGACCTCATCTTCACAGGAACCTGGTAAGTGGTAGGCTGGGGAGGGGACCTGTGTTTGGAGATGTGTGCTAAAAATCCATGCAGCAAGTGCTTCTATCTTTCTTCCCCTCCTCTCTTTTTTCAGAGTTAAGGATCAGTGTCCAGTACACCATTTATGCTTCCCCTTGTGCTGGCCAGTCACTTCTATGGCTGCATTTACTTCTATTTTATCAGCATTCCTATAAGAATTTCTGGTCACTTGTTCATATGTGGATATTGGGAAAAGACTAGGAGCATGTGCTGCGAGTCCCATTTTAGCACTCATTATCTACAGGGCATGCCTGTCAGTTTAGAAAATCAATTACTCAAGCAGTTGAAAAGTATAATTTGATGCTGACCCTGCCTACTAGGGTCAGCGTTACTGGGGCACAATATGAAGAAGATAGCAGGTTTTTGGTCCAGAATGGTTAGTGCTCCGAGGATTCAGACTTGATACTCTAGGTGGTATTTTCAATGGAAATTCATCAGGAGCTACCTAAATTCTCTTGGTTGTGTTTTTTTTTTTGTTTGTTTTTTAAAAGGATTTGGAGGGTGTATCCCTTGGCTGGTAATACAAGAGTTAAGCTGAGCATTTTTGGGAGCTTGCTGTTATTGGATACTCTGTAAAGGGAGTTGTTTTGTGGGGGTTTTTCTTTCCTGTAGCTGTTGACAAACAGGCCTGTTATAGCTAGAGTGGGCTGTACTTTGTAGAGAGGGAGGAAGTTTGTTTTCCTGCCCTCCCCTTCCCAGCTGAGTTCACTTTGAAAGCTACAGTAAACACTGGTGGGGTCCTGTGTCTTCCTGGAAGTCTCGTAGGTTGTTTGGGTGCCATAAGCTTGCTTTCTCCTCCAGGCTGTAAGCTCCTGAGCATTAGAACTATCAACTATCATTTTTGTATCATTTTTCTACTACACCAGGGCCCAATGATACTAGCTGTATCATTGGCTACAATACAGTGACCTGTATTTTTCCAGTGGGGAACCTCGTATTAGTGACCTGTATTTTTCCAGTGGGGAACCTATTTGATTCATGAGCTGACTTTTGAGGAGCAGGTCTGGGATTTTTGGACAAAAATGGTCTCCTGAGTTTAGAGGGAACATGATTGGATTCAGCATTGTGCAGCGTTCAGAGAAACCTGGCAACACAGCCCTTCTCTGTTTGGCAGCTGTATTTCTTAGGATATCTGGAAATGATTTGGAAACACTTTGATCAACTCCATGTGTGAATGTTTCCCTTTGCAGAGATCAGGCCACTACAGGACTTGACCAATGCCAGGACTCTGTCTTCCTCCAGCTCGGAAGAAGTGTCGAGGCGCTCATTCAGGCAGAGACGGGAGCCAGCCTGCTATGCAGAGCCAAAACTCAACAGGTTGGGCTTTAAACTATTCCTTCCCATGACTGTTCCCATGCTGCAACCCCTGCTCTGCTCTCATGTGCTCACTCTCCAGGGCTGGACCCTCTGTCACTTTGTTTGTCTTTAAGTTCCTTTTACGCTTCATGTTTCTGTGACCCTCCTCTTCTACCACAGTGTGGTTAAGACAAAATTCTGCATTACACAAATTGCACGTGCAGGCTTCTGGTAACAAGCTACCAAAGATGTTATTTCCCTCACTGAAACGAGCACATCTCTTAGCAGACTGCATCTCTGGTACTCCAGTGCTAATGAGGGATTAGCGTGAGGATAAAATACAGGCTAAATAAAGACAGCTAAGCGAAAGCCCTGATTTCACTTGCTGCCATTCTGCGATATCTAAAGTTTTACACAACACCTGAGTAATACTTCCATTTTAATCAGGTTTTGGTGAAAGAAATGCTAGGTTTTGAGGAGGGTTCTCCCCTGTGAGCAGGCTGTATCTATATTTGCAGATACGAGTACCTAAACAAATAGCTGCATCTTTTCCCTAAGAAACTGTAGATTCAGTACATCCAATGGCTACTGTACAGAACCATTTAACTCCTAAAATGACGACTTTGTTGTGCTACTGGGTAATACTATGTTTTTTTCCCTGAAAAGTGTCAGTTTAAACTTTCTGTGAGGAGTTGGTTATACTGGGTCAGAAGGTACTCTGTAATGGTACAGCTGTTCCTGTACTGGACAAGGAACAAACTGTACCACTCAGTCATCTTATAGTGGAAGCATTTCAATAAAATCAGAAACTTTTTAGAGACTGAAATAATACACATATTCAAGAAATACCTTGATGGTTCAATCTAACCCTTTTGGTTCCGCAGGAAACTGAGGCGGGGCGACCCATTTACAAACATGGAGTTCTTCCACTCCCCTCCCCACAAAACCAAAAAGAAGAAAACTGCCAAAGCCGAGGAAATGACCAAGAAGATCAAAGAGGAAAAAGAATGGCTTCCTGAAGAATGTTCCAGTGCCAAGGCAGGCAAGCTAATAACAATGGGAAGAGACATGGAGTCAGAAATAAAATAGTGGTTGAACAGGCAGCCTCCAAGCTCCTAGGGGCTTGTGCGTCTGCCAGAGTATCTCTAATGTTTTGCATAGCTTATTTTTTATTTTAAAGTATAAATAAAGTATTCTATGTGGACAGTATAAAAGCTTTGTGACATTTATTCCCTGTCCTCCCCTCCTCCACCTTTAAATGCTGGGGTGCTTGTCTGCAAAGTCTTTGTGCACAAGTGCTTGTGGCACCACAGCCAGCTAGCTGGCTCTGCCAGTTCTTTCCTGGCCCTACACAAGCCTGGGGAGAGTACACCTTGGAGGGCTGATCCTCTGGCATTGCAGATACCCACAAGGGCTGCTGAAAGGGTATGAAAGGATTGCAGCAGCCCAGGCTTTGACAGCAAGCAGAAGAGGCATGCTGACATACTGCCTGGTGTTACCTCCTGTAAAAGGTGGCTTCTGTGCAGGTAGAGCAGTCCACTGGGAAGTAACATTTAGGATTGACTACTGAAGCCTTGGACAGCCCTAGAAGTCAGAGCTCTTTGCTGTTCTGGAGGGGAGCCATGTCAGATAACTGATATATCCCCTCTCACTGTATTTGCTGTCAGTGGGGATTTGCATAACTATGGAGTTGAAAACTGAGCCTTCCGCCAGTCCTGAGCATGCAATACCTAGGACACAGACGCACACATCTAACTACATCAGTGTCAGCACTAAAGGTAAGCTAGGCTATACTTTAATCGAAGACAACTTTTGCTGGGGTCTGCTGATGGGAGTGTTGGTGCAAAGGGCTATTACTGGTGGTGGGAGCTACAAGGGCCCTGCCCAAGAGCTCTGTGAAACAGCTGGTACACTGTGAAGCAGACAATCGTGTTTCAGGAAATCCTGTGCTCTTTTCCACTACAGACTGAGTGCCCACTGGCCTCTAGCACTTGCATCTTTGGGTCTACTGGTGTCTAACTTTGAAGGTTATTGATATTAAATGTTTGAGGGAGCGGTGGGGAAAAGAAGTGATTGTATTAGTAGTAAAGGGGAAGGGAATGTGCCTCCTTGGAAGCAGGAAAAATGTTTCCTCTTTCTCTATGGCAGAGCAGGGACAGGGACACTCTGTTCTTGTGACCACACTTACTGCTTCTCCCAACAGAGAGATAAGTGTTCCTTTCTCTCCTCAGCACTTCAGCAACATCCATCAGTTCATGAGGATAGATTGGGTCTTGCTGTACTCTGCAGAGTCCTCCAGAAGATGGAAACTTTGTTAGCACAGAGTGAAAAGTGTCATCTGCATTCAGGTAAATGCTACTACATTGCTTACACTTAAGCTATACTGTTAAGTCATTAAAACAAGAAGTGTAAGATTTAAAAATGCTCCTTTATTTATTTGTTCAGTTTCCTGAAAGGTACTAAGCTTTCTCTGGTACTCTGTAACTCCAGAAGCCGGGTAGGAGCTAGTAAATAACAGGGAATTTGTTAGAGGTGCTGTTGTACTATGACCTGCCTGGCTGTGGCACAGTAATTTGAACTAGTGATGTCAGAAGCCAGGCAGGAACATAGATCTCCAGATGTTCCTGATGATTGTTTTTATTGCTTCTATGGGCTAGCAATGGGACTCTTTCCAGCTGCACTTCTTATGTGCTTGTGTTAATAACAGAATAGCAGACTACTGTGTTCATTCATATTGAAGGCACAGTGACAGCTGCTAGCAGTTGTAGAGCTGCATTTCAAACACATGCTCATCCCAAAACAAATGTTAATACTAGCTGATCTAGTCTAACATTTCTAACTTATAGCTAGTCAGCTGCAGGGTGAGAGTTTGGCTCATGTATAACCAGTTCGTGATCTTTGTTGAGTGGTGATACATCAGTTTGAGATTATATTAGTCTGAAAATAAAATTTCAATGGAAGTGGTACCTTTAAATTCTTGTGCGCTACCTGCTTGCTTACCACCATGCTACAGATCACATCTTGCCATGGGCCAGAACAAATTAAAACTCTACTCTAAGAAGGGAGATATTATTTTGTGTTTATATCACATTCCAACAGACTGTCCCAGCACGTACTGGACTGTACTGAAAGATACTGGAGTCTCTCTGAGGCAGAATTTCCCCATATCTGCTAATGATACAAAGGAAGGAGAGACACAAAGAATGTTAGTTGGCTTTTTATTTGTCTGAACTAAAATATTCTTTAAAAAAAACCCAAACACAAAACCATGGATGGAATAGTTTTTCAGTCATAATCTAACTCGCTGTATCACAACACGAAGGGTAAGTAATAGCCCAGACAACTGGAGAAAAGTTTTGCACCTTTATGAATTGCGGTGTGGGGGAAGAGGTAACAGTTCCTATGCTTCACATCCAGTCAGAAGGAGTATAATTAAATGCATGGCCTGCATTTGGATACTGCAGCATGGCTTCATTAGGCTTTTAGCCTATAGGGCTTGTTTCCAGCATTTACTAAGTGCTTCTTCTCAAATGCCACAGTCCTGACTGTAGCAGTGTGACCAAACCCCTTAGTATCAGGATACTATGTTGTGGCTGGCACTAAAAGATAAAATTAAGTAAGAGAGGGGCTGCAGTAGAGCTGGCATAGCCCTGTGAGCTCACTTATACTCAGTGGACAGTACTGGAGATGAGGACGGTTCTGATTTCTATGGTCTGTTGGACAGTAAGTCACCACTGGTTTGACCAGAGCTGTGACACAGACTGGCTTTCAGTCTGAGAGGAAGAGAGAAAAGAAACACAGATCATAAAGTCATGGAGAGAAACCTCTGGTCTGTTGTGAATGACATTAGGAATCCAGACCCACATTGAGCTTAAATACTATCACATTCAGCTGCTTAGCAAAAGTAAGGCCTAGCCCAGCAGCTCAAGGGGTTTAAGAAAACATGGTCTTTTAAACATTTAAAAAAGTGTACATGTTCGTTTTTGTCTAGTATTTGAGTTACACAACAGAGTGTGATACAGTGCCACTTACGCTCTGGTGTAAGTGGGAGATGTTTTGTTAGTGGAGCTTGACTAGAACCTGTGCCTTAAAGTTTGGGCAGAGAGGCCAGCTTCCCCTTCAAGTTTTCAGCAAGCTTGTCCATGAACTCAAAGGTGTTCAGGTAGTCAGAGCGTGTGACGCTGAGGGGGGGAAACAAAACAAGACAGACATTAGTTGTAAAGCCACTCAAACACTCAAAGCAGGGGAAGACTGTTCAAAGAACTGCAAGTCTTGCCTCTAAAACCAAGAGTGTTATTCTCCTACTCATCAGGCTGATGTTTTTTCCCCAAAAGGCTCCAGAGAAGAGGTAGCCAGGTGGTATTTTGCAGTGAACTAGGTCTCCATCCTAATAAAGAGGCAGGGCAGGATCTGGCCAGTGTAGCCAGCCTGTCATAAGAGAAGTCTTTGCAGTTCCTTCTTTGCTTTTTTCCTCATGTGTTTGGTACAATAGCAGGGACAGAGCAACCTAGGCTAAGCTACTTGGGGCAGGGAGGGTCTCATGTTCTACTTGTACAGCACTGGGTACAGATGAGCCCTGTTCTGTGACCAGATTCCAGCAATGCTTCACTATACTAAACTAACTTTGCAGCAAATGCTGTTCAGAAACACCAAGTAAAACTGCCTCCTCCCAGCATGGCTGATTACTTCGTATACTTACTTAGGTAGGCCTTTGATACAGGCAGCAAGATCCTTTGTCATGAAGCCAGATTCAATGGTCTCAATGCAGACTTCTTCCAGGGCAACTGCAAAGTTCTTGAGGCTAGTGTTGTTGTCCAGCTTAGCTCTGTGAGCTAGTCCTCTTGTCCATGCAAAGATGGAGGCTGAGAGAGAACACTAGATTACTCTCTCCTTCTAGAACTCCCTGGACATTGTTCTAAACTGTCATGTGGAACAGTAATTATTTTTTAGTATTAATAAAACTGAAAACAGACAGAAAAAAGAAAATCTGGTATAGAAAAGAGAACGCTTATCTTCATCTAGGCATCCTTTGCATTTTGTGCAGCTCTAAAGAAAAGCAAACCCCAGAAACTACTCACTGCCTCCAGCATTTGTGTGTGCCATTTCATCTTATTTTGTTCCTGCCCAAGTCAGAAAGAATGACCAGTGGTAGGACTCTGTGGTTACACAGAAAGTTGTCCTTATGATAGAAGGGCACGGTTGTCTTCCTGGCATTACATTACACTCTGGTCCATGTGCAACCGTAGAGGATTCTTTCCCTCATGCCCCATTCTAGGTGCACTTACACTTTAAGTATGTACATGGTTTGGAGGGCAGCTGGGTCTTTTGGAGCATCAGGAAGGGGAGTCAAATAAAACACAATCAACCTAAACTTTAAGGCCGTTGTGGCTATAAACCTGCTGTTTGCTGAAGAGTGGGAGCATGTCTCAAAGGCTAGGTTAGGTCTAGCTTATTGCTCACACTCACTCCATTCCAGCCTGGTTTTGCTCCAGGCTGTAGCTGTCTCCATGGAAGAAAAATGCATTATGAACTACCAGTTTCACCACTCAGTGGTGCAATTCTCTGCAGAAAGGATGCAGATGTTCTTACTCCAAACCTGTTCTTTCATGTGTAGAGATAACTGAATGGCAGTAAAAAGCAGCTCACCAATGGGGTTAGTGGAGGTTTCCTGGCCTTTCTGGTGCATGCGGTAGTGACGAGTAACTGTGCCATGAGCAGCTTCTGCTTCAACAGTCTTGCCGTCAGGGCAGATCAGCACACTGGTCATCATCCCCAGAGAGCCATAGCCTACAGAATACACCGTTTAAAGAGTTCAGTGTCTCCTTTGGACAGTCCCCTTAAATTCCCCTTAATCCCCCCATCCTACAAGCCCCCTACATCCTCCCAGCCTTGATGTGAGTATTCCTGAACAACAGTGCTGCTGCAACTAACTGGCTAGTCTTGACACGTCAAAATAACAGCTCGTCTGAACAAAAAGTGCTGCTGAACCATGAGATATAGATATGCAGACATTCTGCACCATTTCAAGAAAATTAGTATTCTCACCTAACTTGCTGGACAGATTTTTACCGAAAAGGTGCGGGATGAGAACAAAGAATCCTAAATAAGCAGTGTAGGGCTGCCAATCGCTATTGTCCCCACAGGGCTATAGGAAACAAACCTACTTCATATCAAGAGCATCTGCTCTAGTGAAAGGAACCAT